TTCCTGCAGTTAATGGGGTTTTTAATAGTTGTATCCTGTAGCTTTCCTTGCTCACCTAGTATAATTTTAGTTTGCTTAATGCACTGAGTGATGCTGTGAAATTTTATTTGTGCCAAGTTCTGTGCTGCATGAATTATTGTTATCTTGCCAAGTAGATTAGTGGTACCGGTAGCTAATTGTGTGCAAAAGGTAGTATCATCTAAAACAGCTATGTTACTTCTGTGTGTGGTCTTTCCTTAGGTATGCCTGCCTTATGATTCATATTTTTCATTTCCAAAGGGTGCCGCTTATTCAGGAGTTCTCAGACTTTCCTATATACAGTTTCATGCATATGTCTGTCCTGCGGCTACCTAAAGTCAGAGTGCATTGCTTTGGTTTTAACATGACCTGTTGTGGGTTTTTTAACTTGACCTTTTTGTGTCTGTTAAGCAAACAACGAATACGTCCTTGGAGGCAGTCAAACAGCACAGAAATATACCGAAATTTTGTTTGGTCTCTGTGTCACCCCTAAAGTATCGCTTTCCTAGATGAATGGGTTTTTTTCCTTCCATCCTTTCTCCACATGTTGTGATGACGTTAGCAACTCTAGTGGGACTTGTTCCTTTGTACACTCTCTTGTTCACGTCAGTTGGTTCCCACAGCACAGTTTTGCTAAGTTGTTGTAAGGTAAGGGAGAGATGAAGAAAAAAGAATACAGATATAAAAGAAAATTAGAATTGTATTGGTTTAACATTCCTTGAAACACCATAAGGTTATAGCTTGGTTGAGCTCTGTACATTTTAGTGGGAAAGGTTGTTATACCGTACCTTTGTGAATCGTTTTGTCTTATAAAACTGAATAACACCTGTGATAGTAATAGGAAATCCCCTTCTCTTCCCAGGTCCTCAAATTGCCTCACTTTTATTGCAGTACCAGTTTGTACTGGAAAACAAGAGGTCGGTTAAATCTTACACTGGACAGAGATGTCTATTTGCCCATAAAATAATAATGATGATGAAAATTGTACAGTCAGTGCCAATTGTATGGCCACTGACATATTTTTCTCCTTTTCCAGTCAGTAATGTGTGTAAGCATCATCAGTTGTAGGAGGGATTATCTGGGTACCGGTACAGAAAACTTTTGGGAGTTGGGAGGGGATGTTTTGTCACACAACAGATTGGTGACAAGAGCTTTGTAAAACTTGTCTTTTGCAGTGTGCGGAGCTGGTGTTAGGGATCTGTAGGTTTTAATTCTTTGGCAGGTATGGGAGAGCCTATTTCTAAAGTGTAGTTAAATGGAGGGTGCACTGGTTTGGCCCTGCTGCTCGTCCCTCTTGGCCACTATTGCTATTATTGCTGTTGTTCTAAATCTTCTTAAAGGCATAATTTGTCTGTGAAAGTGCAGACTCACTGTTAATGACAACTTATTTTAGCATTTCCAATACGAAAAAATGAAAATATCGTTTCGAAAAGAAAGTCAAAACAAATGCAGGAGTAGAAAAGCTACTTGTACTGAAAAACCATCTTTACAAAATGATCTCCCTGCTGCTCATGTCTTTCAGCAGGAATCTCTCATATTTGTTAGGCAGCTAATTTAATTTATTTTTCTAACCTCAGACAAGATCAATTTTTTTAAATGCTGACAATTGTATGTTACTCACCTGAACCTGAATCCAGGCTGTGGAAGTTGAACGAGTCTTAAGCCCTCTTCAATCAGCTAAAAGGTGTGAGTGGATGCATAACAATAAGATTGTAAAACCAGCATTTCTTTTTTCACAGCTGAAGTAACTATGAGGGTCTACAGTATTGATAGATTTATTTAAATATCGTAGGACAAGATTTAAGGGTGGTTCTTGAGAGGAAAGGGTGCTAGGTCCTATTGGAGATTGACTGAAAATGGTTTGTTATGTCTTAAATAACCAAACTCATATGTACTACATGTATATATATTGAAATGAGCGCTGTACCTTCCCATACTGAACTAAAAAGGTACCCTGTTGTTTTGTTTTATATATTATTATTAGAGAGTGCTTTATCCAAATACATCTTGTTAGAACATCATCTTCAATTGTTACAGTTACAGAAGGCGGAGCACAACACCCTATTTTCCCCTGATGTCTTTCTTCCTTTCTGGGCTCTTTTGCCGGCTTTTCTGACCCTATGCACTTCAAAACACACCCACAGTTAGGAGCAACTGACGAACTTGTGGTCTTTTTTTACTTAACCTTGTATCATATTCTTTTATGATGTCGTGTTTTCGTTTACCATTGCTATTTTATTTGAAATGAAATGAAATTGTGATATATGACGATAGAGTCTGAATAAATGAAGATTTCATGATTAGAATGTTGTTTTGTTTTGTGTGGAGAATGAGAGACAGAAGGACTGAGCTGTGCTAGAATCGAACTTAAGTCTTCCGTGTGTAACAGCAAAGAACCGAGCAATCATTCCACAGTTGCAGGTCTCGTCCTCAGTATGCACGTAGATTAGACACCAGCATTATAGCAATAATAAAGGTAATAATAAAAGCTTGTCCGTCAACATCTGACGATGACTAACACATCTGCAGAGGGGAATATTTCTCAAGCGAAATAGTAATAGAAGAATTGAAAGAAAGGTGAAGATGACCTGTGGCTTCTTCTGTAGCCGATGAGACCAATTCTAGCAGAGAAAAATTTGCCACATGTAGAGCATGCAAAAGCTCCACTTCCGCTCGTGGATGTGCACAGCTTGCATGCTTTTCTTTTGGTTTCAGTATTTCTTATTCGTGAAGCTTCATTCTCCAACGTTATATTATTGTCACAGCAAAAGAGGCTTTTGTGAGTCACTACGGTTTATTTCTGAAGTCGAGAAATCTACAAATAAATAGGACAAAAAATCAATGTACTGTACAATCACAAGCATTTGGTAAGTGTATCCGTGGATTTTACTATACAAAATGGAAGTAATAATACTGATGCGTCATGGTAGTAATCATAATAACAGTAATAGTAATATATAACAATATTAATAACAACAAGAATATAACACAATATTTATAAATGATCATCAAAGTAATAAAATTAATGAAAACAAGTAAGGGTATGATAATAACGATGGTGCAGTAGTGTTTCAACAAACTACAAGTACAATGGAGGCCAAAGTCATAATTTCATCATCGTTTCTAGTTAATAGCAAAATGTAAAAAATATTTTTTTAAACAGGCTTTCAAATCTAATGCTTTTTCTGACTGCGACCGTCAGGATTTCTTTTTCCTAATAAATCAGGACATCATTTTGTGGGCTCCTGTGCGCCGTTTTTTTACCTGGTCGTATGGGATGCCAAAATGGGTCTTTAACTTTTGTCTAAAAATCTGACTCACCTTTTCCAATAGAAGTTATAATATATAGATGACATAGAAATAACAAATTCTGATATCCAAATTTTACTTTTCAGTCATTTTTGTTAATCCTGTTCTTCTGTTAAAAAATAGAAAAAGAAGAAGAATGATTTTTTAAAAATTATAATAATAAATAATAAAATAAATAAATAATAATAATGCTTTTACACTGCCATCCGCCAAAAGTTTGAGGTGCACGGTCTGTGCTAAACTATGTAAATTTGCCCCTCTACACCGCCAGCGAATTGGCCGTCCGAGGTACACACCACATACGGCGCACGGCACACACTTGACTTAGTGACTGTTTGATAATCTCTGCACCACATACGTCTCTGCGAGATCAGCTTATTTCTCGCGTGTGTCGCCCATTTGCTTCTGATTTGCACTGATTATGAGAGTGCCTTTGATATTATATTATGGTCAGGCTTTGGCCAATATTTTAAAAACAATATTGGAACGAAATTTTTAACTCTCCTGGTTATGTACGATCGTTGGAGAAACATAATAATATTATAATAATAGTAATAGACAATCGACAGATCGATTTTATAGATAGCATTTGTAGAGCGCCAAACCCCCCTCAACAGCAAGCTCTATGCGCTTCACAATCTATACTATTACCCCAGCAGACCTGAGAGCATTCTGAGACAGCACTCAACTTCTGGGAAGCATACAGTGCAAGCGGCCATTTATAGACGTTCAAACACTAACATACTGATTAGTTCTTTCGCTGTCTCATATATGGCTGGGTACCCATTCCCACCTGGGTGAAGTGAGGAAAATTCGTGTAAAGTGCCCTTCCCAAGGACACAACGTCGGGCCCGCGGCTCGAGCCATCGAACCCACAACCTCACGATTACGAATCACGTTGCCTAACCACTAGGCCACCGACGCCACAAAGGAACTGCGCCAATTCGGCCAGTCAGCAAAATACCTTGCGTCGCCAGATGTCTGCCCGATGACTGAAAGACCGGCGGGCGCCCGTGAGGCTTTTTATATTAATAATACCAACTGTGAGGACTCGCGCTCAAGTCTACATGATAGGTCTGAAGTGGCTCCGGGACTGAGGAGTATCTGATAAAACAAACTACGTCTACAGGGTCTTTGCCACATGCAGCCTAGCTTCTGATCCAGCAGCAATTGTCAATTTGTATTGTCGTGAAGTTCAGCTGGAGCAGGTTCCTTATTGTAATTTCGCTACTTATCGTTTTTCTGCTACTCATGGCAATCGCATACTGCGCGAGATCTAGATGTATCACGATTGGCTATAGTTTGTCTCTAGTCACTACAACTACCCGTCTACCATTAGTCAAGATGGCAATTGGTGCCAATCCGTTATACCGCTTGCCCCGCTGCACTGTCAACTTCATGCTTGTCTCAATGTAAGCAGTATAAAGGAGTTTGATTGTAATAATAATAATAATAATAATAATAATAATAATAATAATAATAATAATAATAATAACAAAAACAATGACAACAACAATAATAACATTAATAATAATTATTATTATTATTATTATTAATTATTACTATTATTATTTATATAACAATAATGATAATTATTATTATTATTATTATTATTATCATTATTATTATTATTGTTATTATTATTTTAAAATAATAACAATAATATCAAACAGTTTGAGGCAAGAATCGTCATGACTTTTTCAGTCCAAACACTCTGTCAAGGAAGGTTCGTGAGCGTCGCTTGTACTCGATGATCTCTCGGCACAGCGTGTGGAAAGCGTCCATGACCTTGGTCACGTCTTCGGAGGCCGACACCTCCATGAAAGAACAGCTCAGCTCGGCAGCCAAACGAGCCCCTGGGTAGGATAATAATATTTTGAATGTATGTAGGCTATTTATTTATCTATTTATGTATTTATATATAGATTTCTTTATCCATTTATTTACTTTTTTGAGTGATTGTAAATGTTTTAAACCCCTATCGATTTAGGAGGCTAGATACTTAGAGTGTGGCTCTAGAAATTGTAGCTTACTGCGACCGGGACCACACAAATTAGAACTTACGATGTTGGCTACTTAGGCTATGGCTATAGAAATTGTAATTTCAAATCTATTACGTTCCCATCGACCCAGTTTAGAATAGATAATTTGGAAAGCTGGCTACTTAGAGTATGGCTGTAGAAATTGTAATTTATATAAAATTGATATTCTAAATAAACTCAGAGAAGATAATGGTTATTTCAACTGTATGTTGCAGGTGTTGACCATTTATATTCTACAGAGAAGCCTTGAACGCGTTGATTGAGATTTGGAATAACCCTATAACATGACACGTTTCTGTGTCGATTCCTTGGACGTTCTGTTGTCACTGTTCAATTTTTTGTCTGTTGATTCTGTAGACGCTGTCTGTCCAAAAAAATCCCAAGGAAATGATACACAAAAACAAACCACACACACAGACACACGTACAGACCCACACACACACACACTCACACGCACACACACACACACACACACACACACACACACACACACACACACACACACATACATACATACGCACGCACGCACGCCCGCACGCACACGAAGTACAAACACATATGCAACTCAAATCAAAGCAAAAGCCACAAAGCAACCAAGCTGAAGACAACAAATGCGCCGAGCTTACGTAAATGTTTACCCATTACTCTTTGAGCAACAAACGCTAGCTAAAGATGCTAAGCCGGGTCAAAAAATAGGCGCTGCGGTCTGACATTTTGTCCTGGAATAAAAAGCTATCAAGATGTACACCAGACCTCATAGATGGCACACTTTTTGGCGAACGGCTTGCATGCTTTCGTGATAGACAGATAAATAGACTGATATATAGTCAGAAGGGGGACAGTTCGATAAAAAGTTAGACAAACAGACAGGTATGCAGATAGATAGGTAAATCGACAGAAGAGGGATAGATATATAATATAGATACATTGAAAAGGGACAGTTAGATAGTCTTAAAAAAAGATACCCTTTGTAAAGGGCAATAACTTGGTCATCTTTGGACCAATTTCAGCTAAACTTGGTAAAACGAAACTAAACCAAGGGATCAATACGTTTGAAACTATGAAGAATATTATATCAACTTTCTTTTTCAAGATGTATCAGGATATCAAAATCCCAACCAAATTTGAACGAAGCACAAAACTTTGCAGCTTCTCAAGAATTCAACCATGGGCTTAATTGGGCTAATGTGTAGCCTAATTTGTGTTTTGTGCATTGAAGAACACATTTATATAAAATTACTATTCTAAATGAACTCAGGGAGGGAATATGAAGGCTATTTCATTCGTACATTTGAGTTGTTGACCATTTCTTACAGACAAGCTCGGACGCGCCGTTGAAAATTTGAAATAACCCTACGGCATGTTTCTGTGTCTATTTTCTGGACGTTCGGTTCAGCACTGAGTTTCATTCCAGTTTTCGATTGTTTGTCTGTTATTTCCGCAGACTCTGCCTCTAAATAATAAATAAACAAGCTTCAATCAATCAATCAATCAATCGATCAATCGATCGATCGATCTATCAATCTCTCTCTTTCTCTCTCTCTCTGTCTCCCCAACCTCCTCTCCAACTCCCTCCTCCCTTATGTTGTCTTCCCGATGATCCACCTCCCTTTTAGAAAGAAAAGCACACGCACACAATAATATTATTACTCAGGTTACATCCTCAACGTTTTTTCGTGGTTTTTTTGTTGTTTTTTTTAAAGCAGAATTGACAATAACCGCTGAAAACTGAGACACATCAAAATCAATCATTTAGAAGCATACGAAACAACACGAAAAGACAAAGATGACAATAACAGCTAAAAGCAGACAAAAATCAAAACTAATTATTCTTTTAGAAATACACGAAATAAAAACAAAGAGACAAAATTGACAGTAACAGCTCGAAAGAGATGAACATCATAACTAATAGCATTCATTTGTCGAAGAATACGAAATAAATGGCACGTGCGCGGTTTTCCTTACACTACGCGAACTAATATACCCCATCCTCACGTAAACAAAGAGATTTGTATTATAGTATCCCATATCGCACGCACGCACTTCACACACACACACACACACACACACACACACATACATACAAATCACAATGTTTT